CCTCCGCGGCCGCTTCCCGGCAGCCCCTCGAGGGAGCCCGAGGGCGGGCGGGCGTCGTGCTCCGGAGGCCGCTTCCCGCCGCCGCCGCCGCCGCTGTGGTGAGAGGGGAGGCGCGCTGAGGGGGGCGCGGCCTCCTCGCTGCCGCCCGTCGGGAGCCGTGAGCGGGGCCTGCCCCTGAGGGAGGTGCGACCCCGCCGTCCCCCACCTCCCTCAGCGGGGGCTGTGGAGGGCGAGCGCCCGCAGCAAGGCCCGGCTGGAGCCCGGGGGGGGCGGTCTCCGGGTGGTTGCGGCAGCGGGGCGGGTGAGCAGTGTTAGGCTGGAGCGTAGTTGAGGGGAATCTGTAGCTTCTCAGTCAGTTTTGCGTACCCCTGTGCGGCGGCGGGTGCCCTGCCGCGTAGAGGTGCCGCCTCCGCTCAGGGCAGAAAGGGATGGGGTGTCCCCCTGCTCCATCCCCACTCCTTGCTGCCTTCCCTCAAAACACAACCACAAGGCCATTTCTCAACTACTTCCTTCATTAGCCTCCCCTCCTAAAAAGCTTAATCGTTTAATCTACAGCTGTCCTGTGGATCTAAAACCAGTCTGAGCACCCACCCTCACTTCCAATTAAAACTGATAGACCTAACCCTTTGTCGCGTATTTAAGGTCTTCATAACCATTTTGTACACCCAGAGCGCCTGATAAACTTGGTTTATTATTAGCAGGCAGCTGATACGGTTGATTAAGCAGAACATTTCAACAGATCTGTATGCCAGCGTTGAAAGATTTTTTTATTACCACGTTCATGCAAACCCTTTAAACCATTATTTATTTTTTGTGTTTTACAGAGGGGAAAATGAGGCATATAGCAGAACTCCATAGCAAATACATGGCACAGTTATGAAGATGATTTCTGAAAAGGTGAGACTTAATACAGTGCTTGTGCCACCTCAAACTTGTGGGTCTGGAGAGGTAAGGGACATGTAAGAAACGAACCTGTTGCTATCGATTTCCAATAAGAAAAATACGATTTTAGCAATAGAAATATTACTGGACAAGGATACTTTTACTATTTACAGGTACTTGGATGGTCACCTAGGAGCTGAATCCCTGCAGCGCTCGTTCCATTAGAAATCAAAAGCATTGGTGATTTTCTATTGTGTTGAAATTTTCCACCTTATTTACAAGTAGGAAAAATGCGGCACATTGTCTTCCACATTTTTGCTTTGTTCTTCTCTTCACACCTTTATCTGATTTGCAAGGTCATTCATTTACTTATGCACAGTAAAGGTGATGACAATCTATACCAACATACATCACATAATGCTTTTCTTTAACATGGCATTCTTTTTAAAAAAAGAAGTAGTTGAAGCATCCAAGAAAAAAATCTTAACGATTTGAAGTCTTCAGAGGCATTCCCTGAAACTACCCTTCCTTACCATGTAGATTTGATCTCATTCCCTTCTCAGGAAATAAACAGAGCTTTCTTGTTATAAACAACTTTTGGTTAGATTTTTATCTACAGGGGTATTAAAACACCTCTGTAGAAGAATCAGTTTGACTTACAGTCTTTTCATAAACACCAGTGCTGTTGTATAAATGACTCCGTGGAGTGTTCGCCACCTTCCTTCTCTTCGATGGGTGACAGTACTACTGTATAGGATCTATTTGAGTGAAAGTCCAGCATATGTTAGCATTATAAAATACTCAGTGTGCTTTAATTCTTAAAAAAAAACCCCAAAACAACAAAAAAAAACCAAGCAGAAGACCTCATCACCACAATCAGCATTTTCTCTGTCTCCCACTGATGCCTTAGGCTAAGTCTGAGCACCAAATTGCAAAGCAATGAGTAACAACCATATTGTGATTTCATTACCACATTTTAGTTGGGAGAAATGGTAACCATCAAAAACCAGTAACGTACATCTCAAGCAAACATTTAGTCTCTGTCATGTAACTTCTGCAGAATCATACATTTAAAAATATTTTGCATTGTTGCTCATAAGCTATGAAAAATGTTTATGTATGTGTACATAACCATGATTCATTGTTCACTATTTCTCCTCGTTTCTGCACAAAATTACAGTTGAACTGTAACATCATGGGTGAGCACTACCGCACAAATAACACTTAGGTCTTGACCTGTTCTCTAAAATCAGATTTCTCAAAAAAAAAAACCCAAGCCTGCAAGACATACAGCTGGGAAGGACTTCAAGTGTCTTTCTAAACAACTGTATTACAATAGACTTTTTGAACTCACTGTTTCTCTATTCTTCTGTCCATCACTCCTATTCCTGTTTATCAGGAAGGGCTTTGAGAAAGATAGAACAATATTGCACGCTGATTTACTGTTGAGTTCATATTTCATTCAAAGAAACAGTACAGAAAAGGACCTACCGAATCAGTGAAGAAACCTCATCTCATCCCATCTGCTCTTCCAAACCAAACCCATGTGTAATTTTAAGCTTCCAAGCCCCCCAGCATTGTAGCTTTAAAATAAGCATTATTTCCTTTCCTATCAGAAATAAAAAATCAGTTTGTTAAATAGGAAAACATAAATTAAGGACGAAGCCTTCTTCTGCAACTAAAACATCAGGACTATAGCAGTGTACCGTTTTTCCCCCTTTATGTTCCATTTTACAGCTCCATTCTGAGGTATAAACTAAACAGGACAAATTCTTTTCTTTCCAACTCTAATTACTCATTTTTACACACCTCTATACTGCCACTCTAGAGTTAGCTGAAACAAAAAGAGTCAGTCATGCTTAATTAACTCTTGGAAATGCTTCAGGGAGTTCTTCTGAAATCATGCTGGAGTTCAAAGCTGTGGTTTGATGTTACCTCAGATCAGTGCAATTGCGGAAGGCCACCAAAAGGGTGTAGTCCTGTACTCTTCCTTCATCTCATCCCACCGTCCTCTCCATCCTGTAGATTACACGGATCAAATGGCTACAGAGCTTCAGTGAATTGACCTAATGAAAAAAAAAACAACTTTTTTTTTTTTCTTAATGGGTGAGTTTTCTGCTGGATCAGGTCACTGAACTGACTTACCCTGTGGCTGCATGAACACTAGGCCTAATGCAGGAGAAATGAGGGACATACACGCAAGAGAAAGGGAACTGGCTCTTTCAGCAGCAGGCTGTTATTACCTCTAATTAGAGGTAATGTCAACCCATTCTCTGGATCATTTATGCATGAACACAATTGGAGCTGGTGGCAGAAGTCCAAGTTTCTTTCCAGAAAGCCCTGAGAAATCTGTACACTGTCACAAGGGTACTCATAGGGTTTTTTTCTGCTAAAAATGTACTTCTGTATTTTGTGTAGGAGGACTGAGTAAGAAGAATAGGTTCCCTGAGTACCATATGATTAATGTGATACGGTACTGAGCATGCAAAGGTGCTACCCTCTGCATAGCAGTTTTTCTAAAACATGTTTCCAGCTTCACATGCAAATCGCCACTTCCATTTGTTCCTGTTATTGTACCAAAACCAAATCAGGTTGCCACAAAATGGAAATTATGGTAGATCTGCATTAAAAACAACACATTAGAAGTAGAAGTTGCAAAAGGCAAATAAAGGTTTGTCAGCAGTCCCAAGCAGCAAGGAGGTTAAGGCAAGCATCTCTGCAAATCTCATCTAAAGTAGAGCTTAAAGTTTAGTTGATGGAATTTCTGCAGAGGAAAGATTTTGATCTGTCAGGTCTAGAAAAAGTGTATCATTTTTAACTGCCTTCATAAAACAATGAAATTGTTAAATATCTAGTCTTCCATCTTAACCCAAGGTAATATATAGAATGGTAGGTCTTACAGGATAAAAGATATTTTAAAAAATGTTTTAAGATTATGTCAGTCCATTCTATCCAATGGGAAACAGCTATGTTTGAAAGCTCAGTAGGGGTGAAATTAACCCATTTCTTCATACAGCCTTCCCAAGCACAGCACTATAGTTCTTATTTTAGCATGAGCCCTGCAGTAGAAGTTTAATTAAATGACAGCTCCTAGTTTCAAGCTAACAAGGTCAGGATCCAGCACATTGTCATGATTAGATCTTAAATAATTTTTTACAATAACATCCAGCAAAAAAGTTTTAGTGGTTGGTTGTGGTTTTTTTTTAAAGACAGTTCATACTAGCCCCTTTCTCAATAATAACCAGTCCCTTTTTGCAGTATTTATACCTGAAGTGGTTTTTTCCTGTATTTTTGACCATGAAGAAAGCCAGCCTTGTGGCAGCCCTGGCCTGTCTCTGACAGGGCCCAGCTCCAGGCACTGCTGGAAGCCTGCGGCATGACCTGCTCAGAGGGGAAACGAGCCCTAACCCTCATCTGCCAGTACTTAACCTGTGTCCTGAAGCACACGGGTTTAATATTGCTTCTAAATGTTTTTATCCTATCTAATGCAGCTGTGGATATTCTCATCATCCACAGCCTAGCACCCTGCCCCCCCTTTTTTTTTCCCCCAGTTCTTTTAAGTTTGAGACAGGTTTTTGGTTATTAATACACAGATTACAGTATTATTTCAATGGTAACATGAATTGTAGTTTAATAGGAATCATTTCTGTCTTAAAAACAAAGTTAAAAACATGTTTTCTATTTTTGGAGATACATAGATTAAAATTGTAATATTTCTGAAACATAGTTACTTCCGTGCTTCCAGGTGTATGTGATTAATACAGTCCTTGCTGGGTTTGCTTCATACACCAAGCGTCTCAGATTGTTCATGTCCAAAAAAAAAAAAAATATTTAGAAAAATGAGTTGATTTTCTTTTATGTCTCTGTTCTGTCTTTTTTGGTGGACTTCTGTGGAATGGATGGATTATGTGTTTTTTGTCTGATGATTCTCTAGTAACATCCATTTATCTTGTACAAGTACTCTGGCCTCAGTCATACAGATGTACACATGCATTTAATTTTA